CAAGGAGTTTTGTTGGTCTCATCCACTCTTATATCCCCAGTGCCTGTCAGAAAGTAGGTACTCAGTAATAATGGATGGAATGAATGAACACACTATGGTTGGCCCCTTTCATAGATAAAGAAACAGGCCCACGAGGTTAGGCAGTATGCTCAGTCAAGGTCACACAGCTAAGGATGGAGAGCCAGGATTCAGACCCAGATGTGCTTTGCTGCTGTCATATTGCCTCACAGACTCATTTCATCCTCGCATCCCTGTGAAGTTGTAGGATCCCTTTGTCCAGCTGAGGAACTAAGCTACGTGATTGCCCAAAGGAAGAACAGTAGCTTGCAGGCTTCCTGCCTGGCTGTGACGGTCCTGCTCTTCGTACTGATGGGCTCACACTCCCTGAGGAACCGAGGCCGTGCTCTATGCCAGGGCAGCTCTCTCCCGAGCTCCAGGGGCTGGCCGGCTGGCCTGTGACATGACCCCCTGCTCCTGCTGCCAGGACTCGGTCCACCAAGTCCTCTAGAAGCAAGTCCCTGCCCATTTGTGTTCTGGTTTCAATAACTCAGTCCTCTTCTTGTCCTCCTCGGCCCTCATCACATCTTTGTCTTAGACTCATAATGGTCCCTTCAGGAAGTATTGAATGATTTACTCTGTGCTTGGCACCATGCTAGGTACTGCAGACAAAAGTGAGCCAAACCAGATACATGTCCTACCTGTAATGTTTATTAACTCAGAGACTAATTGAACACATAAATAAGTGTACAAACTATTATGTTCTTACAAAGTAAAAGAACATTGTGTGGTAAGAGGCTATACCTTGGAATCTAGCCTGGTCTGGGGTCACATGGGAGGCAGGCTTTCTTTAGGCTGTGATATGTGAAGGACACCTGAGTATTTGCCAAGCAAAGGGTGCAGGGGGTGGAGGAACAAGCTTCCAAGCAAAGGGTTGGTGGGGAGGCCTTTCGGTGGAAAGCAGCATAGTCTGAAATTCTATAAGGGGCCCCTGTGTCCTGTGTGTAGGGCGAGGAAGGAGTGGCAGAGTCCAGGCTGGAGAGCTTAGAAAGGGCCAAGTCACGCCAGGCCCTAACAACCAGACAAGGGATTCCAGCCGCATCTGAAGGACAATGGGAAGCCACTGGAAGATTTGATCACATTTGTGGTTTTTAAAGGTCATTCTAGCTGCTTTGTACAGAACATATTGGAGAAGGGCAAGAATATATGCAGGGAAATGTCAGCTAATAAATATTGATGGAGCAGTTGAATCAGAACACTCGACGTTTTGCAACCACCATAGTACTGGGTTGGCCGAAAAGTTCGTTTGTTTTTTTTCATACAATGGCTCTAGTAGTACTTAGTTGTCTTTAACTTCATTTGAAACAATTGTGTTAGACTGTATTGTAACAGCTGTCATGTCAGTGTGCATTTTTAAGAAACTTACCAAAATTGGTGAATTTTTGTGCAGCCATTTTAATATTGAAGATGGTAGAAGATAGGAAACATTTTCAGTGTATTATGCTTTATTATTTTAAGAAAGGGAAAAACACAACTGAAATGCAAAGAAAGATTTGTGCAGTGTATGGAGAAGGCTCTGTGACTGATCAAACATGTCAAAAGTGGTTTGTGAAGTTTGGGGCACTATTGACATTTTTGGCCAAACAATTCTTTGCTGTGGGGCTGCCTTATGCATTGAAAGATGTTAGCAGCACCCCTGGCCTCTACCCACTAGAAGCCAATAACAGGAGAGAGCCGACATACTCAAAACATCCAAATCCATAAAGTTATTGGTGAAAATGAAAAATACATCTTTTATTTTACAGAAAAAAACTAAACAGATTTTTTGGCCAACCCAATATTATTGTTAATGGATGCTAAACTGCTGGAAAATAGGATATTTAAATCTCAAAGCATCTTCCCCACAGATTATTAGTTATCACAGAGGGAAAAAAGGCCCCTCTATAATTAATAAATATGTCACCATCTCAACCATTGGTCAAACATAGGGTCAGCAATAACGAGGCGCCTTGATGTTTGTGCCTCCCGATACAACACACTGCGAGGGACACACGTCAGTTATACAGCGCTGCCACCAACATGACACGGCACCCCTGACTCTGTAAGGGAACAGTCAGAAAAACCTCAACAGAGACATTCCACAGAACAACTGGCCTGTACTCCTAGTACGAGTTAGTGCCTTGAAGGGGAAAACGCTGATAACTGTTCTGGATTAAAGGAGTTTGCTTTCAAAGATGGAGGAAGGGGCCTTGAGCCAAGGAAAGCAGAAGGCTTCTAGAAACGAAAAGGCAAGGAAACGATTCTCCCCAGAGCTTCCAAGAAGAATCATCCCTGCTGATACCTGTTTTAGGACATGACCCCCCGAATTGTAAGATAATAAATTTGTGTCATTGTAGCCACTGAGTTTGTGGCAATACGTTACATATTGGAAGGGAAAAATCGGCATGGTGGGCAGCCGGAAACACAGAACTGAAGCTAAGTCACCACCAGTTTTATCTTGTAGAATTGTTTTTTGGACTCATTCTCTGGTCAAAGTATTTTTTAATATTAATTCAGTCCTCCCACAAATTTACTATTTCTCTTTCCTTTTCTTCCTGTCTTTCATACAGCATTGTGAGGTATTTTAGCAAATTCCCTGTCCTGAATGTCTGTTTTCCCTTGCTTGCCCAGAATCTGTCCCCCATTCTCACAAGAGCATCTCATTTTCCTGTGGGAACCCACCCTTCCCTTGTTCTCTACCCAAGTAGCTGATCCTCACTCCTGTCCAGATGTGGCCAATCCGCTTATCCCAACAACCCAGCCTCAGAGGTTAGTTTGAAGGGATGAGTGCATGAGTGATGTTGGTACACTAATTCCAAATCCTGGGACTTCTGCTGGAAGTATTGAAGAGAATCCTTTTTTCTACTGAGGCTACTAAGTTGAGAGAATATAAGCCTGAGCTACTAGAGACCACTCTATAAAAAGAAACTAATCTGAGAATGAAGCCAGCCCAGAGGGATGCCCCAGCCGGGGAGGGGAAAGAGCCTAAGTTCCGACTGATAACATCATTTGAGCCCCTAGGTCTTTCTGGACCAACCCCAGAACTTTTCAGTTATGGGAGCCAGTACAGTCCCTCACTTCAAAAAACCAGTATGAATTGAATTCTGTCACTTATAACTGAAAGAATCCTGGTAAACATACTTCCCAGGTCCAGATATACTACTTCTACTATATTTCCTTGATTTACCAGTCTGTACATTTCACAACAGAAATAAGGTTAACCTAGCATGACTCAGTCTTTTCATTGGTGCTTCCTCTTCTGAGGGACACAAATATTTTTTGTGAGTAATCTGCTCTGAATATTTTCCAGGCCCAATGTCAAGTTCACTGGTCTGTGGTTTGCAGAACTTACTTTTCTTCTCCTTTTTAAAAATGGCTGGGTCATCTGCCTCTCTCCAACCTTCTGGCAAGGTCAGAAGACCTTTAATGAAATAGGAAGAGAGAAGATCCATATGACTCTGTTAAAGAGAAGTGATATTTCCCCCAGATGGAATTTGACCCTGAATGAGCTCACTCTTTTCCATTTCCCTGAATAGTTGGTATCGCCAGCCAGGTCAGGGCTGCACGATGTGGTGTCTTGTGCTAGGTCCGCTCACTGAACCAAAGGAGGACTTCCTCCAGCCACAGGTGTAATCCTCCTCTGTTCCCATAAAGTATGCAAGACAGGCTCCTCTTCTGCTGGACACAGGTCAGAACTTGCAGGAACCAACAGCATGTCCACCTCGCTGTGGTGTCCACATGAGGAAGTGAAGGCTATACTTCTTCCCTGCCTGAGTTCACACCAAACTTGAAACTCTCAGAGAGCCAGGTTCTCATACATGATGGCCATACCGAGCTGCTCCAGCACATCTGGGAAGGACCAGAAGCACTATGGCGCTTAAGGCCCCATGAATCCCTGTGGAACCGCAGCTCCCAGCTTTTCTTTCTTCACATAGTTCCCTTAAACTTTCCCCAGCAAGTCTGAGTTCAATAGGTCCTCTTCCCAGGGACCAGCAGCTCCACGCCTGGGGCACAGGAAAGCTACCTGACGGTCCATCTGTGTCATCTTTTCTCATAAGTGGCAGGACACCAGTTCCTCCTGCACAACTCCTAAAATTTCAGAGAACCCGGTTTGCTAAAATTAACGTTCAGCCCCATTTCGGATACCACTGCCTTTGTTTAAAGACAGGGTTTTATTATTTCATATAAGCAGCCTCCAGAAAGGGCACTATAGCTCTGCAGTGTGGCCGTGGAAATGTCTTTGGAGCCTGAGGTGTGGAGCCCGTACTCCAGAATCAGATACTTAATTTTGCTACGTGTGGGAACCAAGTTTGACATAACCCCAAACTTACCGGGGAGATGTCAGTTTCTGCTTCTACACTACCTCCCTCTCGAACTATAAAAGGCTTCCATGGAAGTTGTGTTTATTGTTCGTGTTTGCTGAAATAGATGCAGCCTGACAGAACTTCTGGAGCAGGATAAGATGGAACCCAAGAGCCTTTAAGTTGCCCTCTTTCAAAAGAACAAACTGGCCTCAAACTGCCCTTCTATACTGTGCATCCCTGTCTTTTATTTAAAGTACGTTCATTCACTCTACCCTAACTCTGGAACAGGCGGCGGGCAGGAAACGGCAAATCGTATTTTAGGGGTGAGGACACTCAGGTCAGGGAAGCAACCAGAACCAGGCATCACCGAATCGCCCACCCACCTGCTCACGGAGCTGTGGCCCAGGAGAACATCCTAGTTCTACGCAGATCCAGGGAACGAGGTTCCCGGGACCTTCCGTAACAGCGACCCGCGGGACATCGAGCGCGGTCCCGCAAGCTGGGGACCAGACCCCACGGCCAGGCGCGGCCCCGGCCAGCAGGGACCCTGACAGACCCCGCACTTTCACGAGCGCCGGGACGGGGCAGCGGCACCGTCCCGTCACGTGACGTCGCTCCCCGGCCGCCCACACGCCTGCGCAGACCCAGCCTGGGGCGGACGTGGCCGCCTGACTGACAGCTGGAGCGGGCGGGCGCCTCGGAAGGACCCGGCTCTCGGGCCAGTGCAGTGGCTGCACCGCGGAGCCATCTGGTGCCGGCTCACTCTGTCCGCTCGCCTGTCTTTGCGGGTCGTGGTGAGAGGGGCCCCGTCGATGTCCGTGGGAGGGAAGGCGGGTCCCGGGGTCCCCGGGCGGCGCGGGATCTCTCGGAAGGGCGACAGCTGGAGCGCCGGGGCTATAGCTCGGGCTACTTCGGGGTCCGGTGGGAGGGGTGAGGGTCATGGGATGATGCAGGGTCGAGGGCCTTGGGCCGAAGGGATTCCTACAGGGTCCGCGCGTGCTGGGGGCGGCGGTGAAGAAATGGGAAGGAGAGCCCACGGTATCGGGGACTGTACAAGGTGTCCCCACTCCCGGTGGCAGATGGTGTCGTCAAGCGGCTTTGGGATGGAGCCGGTTCCCTAGTCTTGTCGGGTGGGGGAAGAACCCCCAGACTCCCGGAAAGGCTTGCTGGGGAGGGGTTGCCTGGGACCAAGATGGGAAAGGCATTTGCCAAGTCGTGCGTGTGTGTTCAGTTTTAAGTTTGCTGCCTCTCCGCCCCAAGGTGGCAGATGGGTGAAGAGTGAAGGCAAGGGAGAAAGGGCTCTGCGCTGGGTGCCTGCCCTGTGAACTCTGCCTGTGCCTTGCCAGGGCTCCCCTTCTTCCCGACAAGCCATTAAGCAAAGAGGAGGTCTGCAGAGGGCACAGCAGTACAAATGCGGTGTTACAAGTCAGTGTCGGACCGCTGGTTCAGGATGGGCTGAACCAGTGCCCAGGGTCTTTGGAAGGACTGGGCTTCCTAGAGCCGTGAACATTCTCCCCTTGTACTGGGTTTGTGCTTCCGTAGGTTGTATGTGGATTGGATTTGGGAGAAGGAAACCGGGAAGAGGATAAAAACTTGGCACTGGGCACTGGCCAGCTCCTCCGACAGTCTAATTAAGTGCTAGGCAAGTGTGCTGACCTGCAGCATGAGCAGGAACTTGCCTCTGAGCTGGCACAGGTGAGGAGCCCTGACGTGGAGGTTGTAGCTGTGGTGAGTCAGTGCTCAAGGCAAGCTGACATCTGTCAAGGACCAGGCTGCTTTGACCAGCCTGCCACCCAAGCCATTGTCACCTGATGCTAATGTTTCAGATACATTTTATTAGACCCACTTCCTCCTTAAGCCTAAACCAGGGCAGCCAAAATGCTAAACACTGAATTAAGCAAAGAAAAAAAGGAGACTTAGATTGTATTGCATGTGAGTGCTCCTTCCCATCTTCTCCTATTTCTGTTTGGAAGTGTATACCCCCGTTGTTCAGAGTCTTTCCCTTTGGCTGTCACTCATTTTCATTCCCACTCTGTTCAGATGTATAGGACTGCTTACATGTATGACGTGTGGGGCCATAGGCTGCTGAGCTCAGCTCACAATGAAAATGTTGACTCATGAGATTTTCTTTTTCCATTAAAGAAATGAAGATAGCTAAAGGTACACACGTGGGCACTCTCAGTAATCAGTAGATTATCTTAAGCCTCTCGTTTGGTTCTGGAATTCATTCCCATGTTTTTGTTTGTTTGTTTGTTTGTTTGTTTGCAGTATTTGTCCCTAGTATGGCGTGCATCAGTTAATGCGAAGATAGTTTGTATTTTTGGGGAATGTAACAAGTAAACACAATGAAAAGCTACTCCGTGACACTAGTAAATTACCAACTTACTACAGAATTCCAGAAAGTGGAGAATATTCACAGAGACCAGATGTGGTTCCCTTTTCATGGCAATAACTTTGGTTCTTCAGAGGTTAATTGCTTTATGGTGACTCCAAATGGCTCTGTAGGGACTTCCTCTAGGACAGTCTTTACGAAAGGGTTAGAGCGGGATGAGTTATGCTCCATGCCTCCCTCCCTCCCCTTTCAAAAAAGAAAATAATCAGGTTAAAAGAAACATCAAAAGCAGCCTTGGAAGATAAAAAAGAGTCATGAAAAGGCAACTGGCTGCAGGAAAGAGCTGCAAAGGGAGGAGTAAAAATCCTCTTGCCGATAATAACCCCCTCGATTTTACATGGCAGTACTTTACAAAGGGCTTTCCCACACAGACCCACAGCTGATCTTCACAGTCAACTCGGAGTGACAGGTGGTGTCCTCATTCCAGTGTCACAGATGAAGACACTGAGGCTAAGTGACTTGCTCAAGGTCATTTAGGTCCCAGGCGGCAAAGCAACGTGTTAAGCCCAGCCACGTGACACCAGATGTGGAAAGGGATGTGGGAAGGATCCCGTCAGAATGTCCGCACATCCTCAGGGCTGCAGGGCTTTCCCAGCGTCTGCTGACAGAGCGTCCTTCTCTCCCACCGTTTGCCCTGCTTACTATGTCAGCTCAGCTTGCTGGTACACATGCACCTTCATCACTTTTCCCCACCCCATGCTTGAGATAGTCTGCATCTGCTCAGATTTGTTTATGAGTCTTTGAGAAATCTAGTAGGAAGTACGATTGCAGGGAGTGTCTTTTGCTCAAGTGCTCAGTGTTTCCTAATAGTCTACGTGTCTTCAGCTGTGTGATGCAAGAGACCAAAGCAATTGTAGGGAAACTTGCCATAATTGTTTTCCTTGTCCTCCATCCGGAGGAAAACTGCCGTGTTGGGAAACTTCAGAAACTGACCCAGTAGTTTTGTTTATTTTATCCAGTGTTTTTATATATGGCATTGTTTGGGTAATGGTGACACTTAAAAGAAAGTAGACACACTGCACAGCTGTTCTCATTAGGGAGGAACAAGGTTTAACCCCTTTTTCTAGATCTGGGCATCAAAAAAGGGACTTCAGTGGGAGGTTGTGCAGATAACGTTTCAGCAGGTCAGTGGTACAAAACAAACTTGAAAGCAAGGCAAAATTGGGGCACATCCATACAAATATAGACCTGGAATAAGAAAGGTGATAGTCCCAGTCTGCTCCGTCCTTAGAATATTGTGTTCTTTTCTAGACACCACACTTAATGATGGCTATAGGGGGGAAATCAAGCATATTCATTGGAAACTGATGCAGTGGGGAGTGATTTAGAGCTGGTAGGCCAGGAGGATCCTGGGGCCCAGCATAAAGAAGATTCAGGACTGTCATTTATCAGACTTGTTCTGGGCAGGCCCAAGATCCCCAAAACCAAAGGACAAAAGTTATAGTGAGAAAGACTTCAGCTGCGAGAACTCGATTGTGTTGGAGTGACCTTTTAAACACTGTGAGTCAAATCATGCCTCACCCCCGCAGCTTCCCAGTACTCACGGGGTCAAACTGAAACTCAGTCTGCTGACCGACCTTGCTTGTTTCTCCGGCTTCATCAGTGAGCACACTCTCACTCACAGAAGTCCCGCCTTTGTCTGTGCTCCGAGCATGCCTGGCTTGCTCTGCCTCAGGGCCCTTGCACTGGGGGTTCCTTCTGCCAGATTTTCTCATGGCTGGCTCCCTGGGAATGAAGTCACTGCTCCAATATCACATCTTTAATGGGACATTCCCTAACAGTCAAGATAATTCCTTTTGGATCCTAACCCACTCAGTCTATGCAATTATACTGTTTTATTTTTTTCATAACAATATAAAAAATGACCTTATTTGAGAATGCTTTCTTTTACTGTCTGCTCCCCATTTACCACGGTATCAGTGGTGCTCCAAACAGTACCTGGCATTTAGTAGGTGCTCAATAAACATTGGTTGAATGAATGGTATTTATGACAGTCAGACCTTTTCATAGATGGGAGGGATTGCTTCCTTGGTAGATACTGCTGGGGGTGGGGGGCGTTTTGTTTGTTTTTTTCTAGAGGCAGTCATACATAAGCTGAGTAGCTGGCCCTTGGGGAAAAGAACTCACACATTTAATAGACAGTAAAACCAGATAACTTCCTGTATTAGTCTCCTAGGGCTGCTGTAACTAAGTGCCACAAAGTGGGTGGCTTAAAACAACAGAAATTTATTCTGTCACTGTTGCAGGGGCCAGAAATCCAATATCAAGGTGTTGGCAGGCGACCTGGGGCACTCAGAGGGAGAATCTGCTTGTGCCTCTCCCAGCCGCTGGTGGTGCCCAGCGATCCCTGGTGTCCTGTGCCTGCAGCCGCATCCGCCCCCCTATCACTGCCCCTGTGGCATGTGGCCTTCTTCTCCCTGTGTGTGCATCTGCTTCTGCTTCTGTAAGGAGGCCAGTCAGACTAGATTTGGTACCCACCCTATTCCATGATGCCTTTACCTTGATTTAACTAATTACATCTGCAAAGGACCTATTTCCAAATAGGGCCACGTTCACAGCTTCTGGGGGTCAGGACCTCCACATATCTTTTTAGGGGATGTAACTCAATGCATAACACCTCCCACCTTCGAGATCCAGTGACATTTTTAAAGGGAAAAACTGGCAGGAGGTGCTGGGTTATTTTTAGGGATAATGATAATGTTTGGATATTTGTGCTAAAGCTTCCATGCTCCTTACAACTTGCAAGGTAAGCAGTGATCTCAGTATGTCATAGGTGAGGAGGGTGAAGGTTGGGGAAATGGAGTGACTTGCCCAAGGTCATACAGGACCAGATGAACCTCCCAACTTTGATTACAAAGTCCGAGGCCTCCCTCCTCCTCACCACCGGCTGGTGGGTGCATCTTAATTGGGGTGCAATAGGGTAGGATATGGGGCTTCTTCCATGGCTCTGCAGGGGCCCTTCAGGGATCATTTCCTTTAATACTTCCTTCTTTTGCTTTGTCCGGTCCTGTGCTAGAGGAATAGCTCATTGATGCCCAACGGTGAAGTAAGTGATGCAGCTGAACATGACGCGCCAGTGGTGCACCTTACACAGTGGCCCTGATGCGGTGACATCATCAGTGGTTGTGCTTTCCCTTGTGGAGCGTTTACCGAGAGTCTGAAAGGCTTTTTCATAAGGTTTTGAGAGTTCTGAGTTTCAGTGTCTCAGATTTTGACCCTGAAAGGGTATTGCTGATATTCTAAAAATTGGCCATTCAGGACTTCATAACGCAACTTTTCTCATTTGGACGTGATGGTGAGGGGGTAGGGGAGTGGGCGAGAGCAGGGCAGGCTGCCAGCCAAATTCCAAAATGACTTACACCTTCGTCTTCAGAGACCTTTGTATTTCTGGCTCTGTGTTAC